TTAATTATAGGATTGGGAGAAGTCACTGCTTCCCAGTGAAACAATTTGCGGTCCCCTTCCGTCTCCATATCAGGACTGTAACTTGGACTTGAAGGAATGTATTCGACCTAACCGAGAATCATTACGAGACGTCGGCCAGTAGGTCTGACTCTGTGGACTGTACCATGGACTTGTTGCATTTTATTGGGTCGAAGATGGAGTTTTTTACACGGTGTTTCCTTAGTGTCATCCCAGTTTTATAGTATACCCGAAACCCCATTTTTTCATAAACATTTTTTGACTTGTTCCGAAAATTCGGGGTACGTAAAATACATATTAATGGTCTTTTTTTCTGGCGGTGTGATAACTTTTAAGCTGGGGTGCAATAGTTCACTTTTCAACATGAAGTTGAAACTTTATAAGAGTTTGGAAGAAATGTTTTGAAGATAGAAAATTTCTTCATTCAAGACTTTTACAAAGTTGCCCTGCGCGATAGCGAATATTCTTTACAGTGTTCCTGAAATGCAGGTGGAGCGCAGGGTTCTGAGTGAAGATACTTACTGGCGTGAGTACGTTGTTGACAGACCGAAAATTTAAACTCCTAATTGCTCTTCTGGTTACCAGTTTTTACCAGCATATCCAAGAACGGCAGTACATGCAAATTTTATGCGGTTGTTGCTCTCCCCGTTATTCATATACGCCGTGAAATTGTTCAGAAGTGTATCTTGCGTTTTTGGCAATAGAATAAAAATATCATCGACCAATCGGGCGTAGAGCAAGGGGCGAAAGCAACTTCATCTAAGGATTTCTTTTCCATGTGGACTAGGTAAAACTCCGCTAACACCATACTGGCCGGACAGCCCAATGGAATGCCAGAAGTATGATGGTAAACCTTCTTCACAAAATTGAAATTTACACCTGCCATTACAAAGCAAAATACTGCAGTCTTCAACGCTGCAGTTTGTTAGAACGCTTTCTGATGCGTGTCGCAATATAGCATGCAGTATCTGAGCAAGAGCGCTTGTGTCGACGTGACTGAAAAACGCCGTCACGTCTAATGACACCATGCAACAATCCTGCTTGAGTTTTTCCTCACTTTCTCGATGAAGTCGTTCCTGTTTTTTATCCTGTATTTCATCTGGTTGGATGCTGGTTTCAGTAATAATTCTGATTCCCTGGCTATCAGGTAAATAATAGTACCAGATGCAGGAATTATGATGTGCAGTGGTAAGCCAGATTTATGTTGCTTTTTCTAATCCGCAGGGCTGAGACATTTTACAGTTATCAATTACAGGGAGAAAGAGAAAACCTGGTCTTTCGCTAAAACTTTTCTTTACAAGTTTCTGTAAATCCAAAAGGAACTGCTGTCGAATATTCTTATTCAAGTTGGCGTTCTTTCTGAGTTTGATATAAAAATCATCATTTTGGAACTGCTCCACCATTTTAGCTTCATAATCTCAGTTCAGCATTATCACCGTTTTTGTCCTTTATCCGCTGATAACACAATCAGTTCATCTTCCACAGGCTTCTCCTTTAACCTTTAAACACGTTGCTGTGCTGCTTTGATAGACTGGACTGCGATTTAGCCAAATTACTGGGAATAACGAAGCCAACGTTAGCGGTAATTTCCTCATTTTGGTTCTTCTGATATTCATTTGCACGGAGAAAGCCTTTCTCGATCCCAGAAACGAGGTCAGCAATGGACGATGTTTCTAACGGACTGCTCCAAATTCCTGCCAAGAGTCACGACGAATGTTGTTCCTAACATGGACGAATTCCTCGTATTTTGTTTTATCATTGATAATATTCGAGTTGTAAAACCATTCATAGTAATTAGGAGTGTGAACAGTCCGATTATTTCATTTTTCACCAGCTTCCTGGAGCATTGGGCCAAAATTTTATCAGAAATTAACTGAAGAACTTTCTTCAACTGGAACTGCCGTGGAATCACATCATTCTTCAGGCCTGGGGAAAATAAATGAGTTTCGAATGTAGGAAAAGTAGAGTTTTCCGTATTTGAGTTGATTTACAAACTCTAGGATAAAGAGACCATATCGTTTTAATAGAAGTTCTTTAAAAGAGTTCTAAATTCTAGGTCAATAACTTTCTTAAAAACTCCATCCAAGCAACCCACCTGAAACCCCTAATGTAGCCAATAACATAAAAAAACTGTGACTGTGACAGGATTCATATCGTTTAGATATACAGACGGCTTAATATCAGGATGAAAGAGCATCTGTCGGCAATCCGCAACCACCAGGCTGAATATCCAGGTTATGGCTAATTAACAAAAGACTCCCTTCAAACTTTGACACGAAAACAGAAGATGTGCAATAAATACTCGCCCTCCATTGACATAAGTCAAATCTGGGTACAATCAGTAAGCTGACACGAGAAATGTAAAATTTCCCGGTTGAGTGACATACTGCTGTCACTCACGTTTTGGCGATGAATTCTTGGCTAGTGTGAAATAATGATGAGTTGATTTCTGAATTATTCAGTTATGATTATGCTACCGGCGCTGGTAATGAAACGCGTCGAGTGCTAATAAAACAACTCCAGCACTGTTTATGTTTGGGTTCCCAACCATGCATTAAGAAAGCAATCGGTTGTCCGAAAGACCATTTGGTGAGTAGACTGCACTGGGCGAGTTGTATTTCGCTGGATCAGGGGAATACCTTGACCAGGGCGATGAATAACTTGGACTGCTAGGGAGCAGGCATGGCTTGTCGGCGAATTTCGACTGTAGCTCAGCAACGTAGAACTAAAATCACGCTTGAAAAAGTTTATAATAATTTCACATGATAATACCTGTAGTTAGGGGTCGTTGGACTGTGCCGCGAGTCGATGGCAAATATCGCAGACTGGTCGACGAATAGCTTGGCTATGTTCGACTGTAGCTCAGAAAAATTCGGAGAAGAATGAAGCGAATAATTTCAAGCGCTAGTTACAGAGCACGCAGTTTTAGGTGTAGCTAGGGATTGTTAGCGAACTTTGGCGATGCAGGGCTGTAGCTCGGCGGAGCCGGCGAATAGCTCAGACGTGTTGGACTGCACTTTAGCCATACTGGCGAATACCTTGGGCTATCATTCATTACTTGTGAATTTGGCGAATAAACCGGCGAGCTAGAAGAGCAGAAAACTCCCGACGAGAGGGCTGACAGAAGGCCAAGACTGGACGGTCCCAAAGCGCGATGCGGCGAAACCAGAGATCAGCTAGGTGAATATGCCAGACTGACAACAGTTTCGACTGGGCTTACGGCGAAAACGCGGCTCATTCTGGAAGGAAGTACAGGAGACCAGCCAACAGAATACGCGGGAGTAGCACCGGAGATACAAGGGACTAAAAACAGCTCCATGTTTGAACTCACTGCGCTAGTTACGAACATATTAGTGCCCCTTATGATTAATCTTGGTGAAAGATGGCGTAAACCAGTGTACTTGTCAACAGGACAATTGATGTACTTCGGAAATTCTATGCCAAGTTTGTACTGCTCAGCGTCTCTGGTAAACTCGAATGCACGGTCTCAATGTGCGGCAACAGCCAAAGCATGATATTTTCAAAGGCGCCTGGCAGAAATTCAGTTTTGCCGTGGTTCGCCGCTTCTAACAGAATATCAACCTGCAAATGAACAAAAACCCATATCACACGATAAGCACAACGGTGCCAAAACGACTCTTAACCGTATCCTAAAAATTGCAACGCATCAGAGCCAACCTCTTTAATACCATGCCTTGTAATCGCCATCAAGGTGCCCAAACGAAACAAGACGGCGGAACGACAAGAACTGTGCATCATCAAATAAAATGCACAAATAGCGCTGAGTATTAATAAACCTCAATCTGATTCACCTCGCTTTTCGACCTCAGACGTATAGACAGTAATCTGATCACAGCTTGGAACGAATATGAACATGTCGACTAAAGTAGAGCATATGCAGCGCAACGGCGACGTACGAGTAGTCACGAATAAGAGAGCATAACCTACAGCCCGCGCAATGACTACATGTGCGTGGCTCGCCTGTGTAAAATCGAGCATAAACTTCCCATGTTGTGCATACTCGCACGATGTTGAGCACTCTCAAATAAATGGCCTGTAAAGAACAGTTGCTCCTACTTAAAGTGATGCAGATTCTCTCTCCCAATAAACAACAGGGACAGTTGAAATGGACGGCCGAAAACGCAAAGCTACCCATCCCTCACAACCCACTGTAATCTTAGCTTAAAAAGATCATGTAAAACGAAAAACGTTAAAAAACGAAAATCATATAAACGAAAGTTTGTAAACGTTGGAATACCGGTTTCTCATAGCTTACGTTGTGGGGCCAATTTTGGCGCCCTTCTTTCATGAAGTTAATAGTGGGACGCTGACCCCCATTAGCCAAAGGCGCTTTATTCTAAAGGCAAAGTCGACGGCAGCTATGTAGCAGGTGTAGTGTGTAATCTCCTGTTTCCTTCCAAGTGGCAATGATTTATCAACTTCGGAAAGAACAAAAACGAATGACCTGATTATGGCTCCAACACAACATGTCTCAGCTTAGAGTCTGACGCTCTACCGCCAGAGTAACTCCGGTCACATTAAATGAAACCAACCGCAGATTAAATCTTGTCTATGATATTGCGCTGCAATGGACTCGACGCCGTCACGTGGGGACCAGTCTTAATCTATCTAATTCTAAGATGTTTGCCTTTACACATTATTTTATTTATTTCGCTTACAGCATGACTAATAAATGACAGATGGGCTTCAGAAGTTTGTGACAATAATTCGCATGCAACTGGCATCGAGACAGGTGATCGCCGTTAACAATGATAAAGATTGATCATAGAAATGGTCAGTGCGTTGTTAATCGTACTGATGACACAACATGATGAACTGTTTAATTATACACAGCACGAAACAATCAGGTTCTCAGGTTGTAGGCTGCTACCAATGTCTGGTTCCTTACCTACCTGACTCATTCGCTCTGTAAATAATTAAACAATCTTATGCTGTTTTAGGGAACATATATGATCGAAACATGAACTGTTAGCCACATGAGGTGAAATCCAAACCCAAGAATATTTCGTATGGTCCATTCCCGTCAACACAGGATGCGAACAAAGCATACAGCAAACGAAAACAGTTATTTTCCCCTAAACAAATTCGTCAGCACGTCTTTTCTCATAATATACCGATGAAGCAGTTATGTCAAGGTAAAATGTCGCTACAATAAAAGCATCTTCGACCACTCGTTGAACCATCTACGATAACAATGAAGCAACATGTGGAAGTAATAACGCCACACAACAAAGCCAGATGTCGATAATTCATACAACTACTGTCAAACAAGACGACATGATTCATGTCGCATTCCAGTACACTGCAAGTAGCTTCGATGCCCAGTACCTAAATGATACCCACTGTATCCTCAAAACATTTCCACTTCAAATATCTCGCATATGTGGTTACCTTACGTCGATGCAGGTGGACGTCGCGTTCGTTCGGAACCTTCAGCGGACTGGTACCATCGGTTTCCAATAGCCATTCAGCAGAGGCACTGAATTCGCCGTCAAACGTTAGCACGGTCCTTTCCTTGTTGACTGCCGTCGGTAGGTGCAAGTACACCTTAGCTATCAATTCGATTTCCTGCAGCGGCATGTACGACAAGCGATCTGGCTCGATGGCGTGCAATCACACACCGTCTCCCACTTTCTGTTCACCTACTCTTTGTAAAAGAAAGCAAAACAGAACCGAACGAAACTGATACAGGAGACTCTAACTACATCGCCGGTTATATCTTCGATTATGATAGAAATGTGAATGCGGAACATGAATTTCTCCGGGTTGTCGTTCGTATAAATGACAAACAGATAGTCGCCAAAACGTTGGTGGATCAATATCGG